ACTTTTGCTAAAACGGAAATTACTCTTAGAGCCTTTGTTATTATTTGAGAGTGACAGTAGCATGTTGGGAGAATGTTTCCATCGAAATTTAAAGGTCAAAGTTCCAAATCTGTATAGCAGCAAATACCCAATAACTTTAATTTCTAAGACGCATACATTTGTATAGTTAAGAAATCCTCTTTCAAAAAGAATGTACATGAGCAGGTTTTAAATTGTTTGTCACAGCGATAGCCATCATCACCACCATCATCTCCTGTTATCGTATGTATCATTACATAAATGAATATGTTTAGTTTGATTATTACATTATTAATATGTTTAATTTACCGTGTTCGTTAAGTCGTTTTCTCAAAGGTTGAGAATGCTATTAGCATTAAATCCGCCTTTGGGCCATTACGTGTTTAATAAATAAATAAATTAATTGAAATTTAAGGTTAGTAGCAACACTTCTCCCTATAGACAAAGGAAAACATCCTGATGAAACCTATATGTTGAAGATGGTTTATAAACTTCGAAAAGAGCTCAAAACACTCAGGACTCGCAGTGGGACTTAATTATTTTATTTTGCGACACACATGTCCGTTACTTATTTCGGTTTAAACCTCATTGAATACCAGCACCACAGTCCAGTTATGACTATGGCATAAGCTGAATGAGGTCCTATTGCGTACGTCACAGCCGCACAAATGACAATACAAATTTGTAGTTGTTAATATTTTGTATATTGCTTTTTGTCAAAACTGACAATTATTATTAAATTCTTGTCTGTATCTATATATTGTGGCGTTTCAATGAATGTCTATTCTATTCTATTTTTTTTTATTTGGACAGTCAACAATTGTTACATTAAAACAAGATCAGAAAACACATGCAAAAACAAAAATTATAACTAAATGCACAATCTATTATAGACCGACACTACATGCACAATAAATTATTGCAGAGTAAAAAGAAACTTACAAAAGAAATATGTCAACATTAATTTAGTATATAAACCACTTACAAAAACAAACAGTGTTAATATCTAAAGGCTAAGCGACAGTTCGCGCTTGGTTTTTACTGCAGAGAAATAGTGTAAATCAATAGTTGCGTTGTAGTCATTGTACAACTGGCAAAGCCTAACAATGGGAGAATTCGCGCCTAATAGAATCCTGCAAAAAAACTTGCAAAGAGGCTTGATGTAAAATCTAGATAGTCTGCGGGGAACATTAAATGATACAAGGCTTAGAACCGAACTGCATTTAATTTGATTATTTAATATTTTATATAAAACAATCACATCTCAATTCTATTCTAATGTAATATAACCTGCTGTATTTTAATTCGTTACGCGTTTTACCCCAACGATTTTGGTACAAGTAACACGCGACTGTGTTTTCATCATTAAAAAACTTAATTTACAAAAAAAAAAACAATTTTTGTTCTTTACCAAAATCGTCAGAGACACGTGAACAGTTAATTAACAGGGAAAACTTCCACAAACTTTGTTATCACGTGGATTTCAAAAGTTTTGCCCGACCAGAAAATTATCTAATAACAACTTGTCCCAAAAGAGAAATGTTCTTTGTGAAATTCATTTGACAGAGTTTGTTTGTTTGTTTCAGAGGAAATGATCCCCGTCATAAACAAAAAAGAAGATACGACCTCATGAAGAAACAAAAGAAGAACATCTGTAGATTTGACACTAAGACAATTATTAATATTACAAAAATAGTAACCTTGCAGGACTACATTACTAACATCATAAACAACAATTTTAGTACCGTGACTTCTTTGTACTTTCTCACACTTTTTATATATATGTATTTAGTAGCAATGCAATAAGTTCAAACATGCAAGCTTCCTCTCTCAAGACTCCCGCGTTTTGCACAGAGTTACCATTTAGAGCGATATATTTAAATATATTTTTTCGGAATCGATGAAAAACGAATTACTCACTTCCTTTGAAAGATCATTGAAAATTATGTATTGATTTAAGTTTATCGCGATTTTCTCTTTGTCAATCTTCCTCAATTAAATAAAAGAAGAAAAATAATCTCATATTTTTTAATAAGGACTGTTTTGGCCAGAACTAGGTCACATATTTTTTTTTTTTCATTTTGAGTTAAGTAGATACCTTTCGATTGTTTCTTATAAAATTCTAACGACAGTTATATTGACGTGTTAGAAATCAAATTTTACTTTCAGGTATGATATGGTCTTGAATTTCACAAATTTTGAGTTACAACATTATTGTAATAATAGTGCGATTACGTCGGAGCACACTTCAAACGTAATTTATTAGATAAACGGTTTACTAGGCTATCTACAAATCATATTAACTAGTCTCGATCATGGTTTCTTTGTTTACAAATGTCACGTCAGTTTGACAGCTTAAACTGGGTATAGTCGCAGAAAGGGGGCGCTGGTGTAGTTGAATCGGTTGAGTTAAATCAGTCATCTGACATGATCCTATGACTTGGTGGTCGTTGGCAGTGTTGCCATATGAAAATAAGAAGTGAAATTGACAATGAATGACATAAGAAGGGCTTTTTGGTGTAAGTTGCTAGGACAGTGAAGACGTACCGCTCCGCTCTCTCTGAACTTACCGTGTGATATTTAGTATCCATTTTAACTTCATCCATCCATATCATACTTTACCACCATATCATATCATATCATACTTTCGATCTAATTACTATGAAAAGTGCATAAAGCAACTAATTGCAATCCGCCGTCTAAATGAATTGACAACGAAGAGTGAATAATCCAATTATCAAGTGGTGACTGTCAAGAGGGTATTTCTTTTGACATCTCCCTTTCCGGCCTTAACTCCAACATAATATATTTATTTTTATATGAAAGTAAAATCGGAAGAATTATCAAAGTCACGGAACAAAAGTTGTTGTTTGTGATATTAGTAATATGGTCCTGTGAGGTTGTTAGTACAAATAACCCTGCATAATATGTTATATTTGAATGTTGCATATTATATTATCATGTTATCCGCTCACGCGATACATGCAGCCGTAGACGCATACCACACCTAGAGGTGCCGGTGATGATTTTATACCGATTTATCGGATATCGAAGTTATAACAGGTAAAAGAACTACTATTAATTGCTATTTCGGTAACTACTCTAGCAAACCATGAAGTTTTTAATGCTTGGGTCTGTCATTTAAAAAAAATAACCAACTTCAAAAATACGTCACGACAATCGTGTGTGTTGGTGATTCCGGTGTTTATTTATTGAAAACATACCGTAAGTAGCATTTTTTAAGTTTACCCTGAATATAAATGTTTATAAACTATACTTTAAGGAGTAATTTCATGGTAAACGTTAGAACCACTCATACGGAATATTATCATATTTATCCAAGTACACCAAAAATTTCATTAGTGCTTTTTAAGCGCAGGATTTGCGGTGTATTACTGCATTTTATTTGAGATGTTTTTGTTGATAGTACGGAGGGTATTTATTTAGCAATGCAGAATAATAAATGTTATTTATAAAAACTTGTATCTAAACTGCATGTTTTTCTAATTTGCGAAACCAAATAGCCGCCATTTTGCGGTCGGAGAAGCGCATCGCGTGAGCGGATAAACAAACACAACCCCCGATTAAGGGTAATTACTGCCATCTTTGGTCATCTGCGATTCTACGGGATCATTTAAAGCGTTACTGGCAAATACACGCTATTCCAAAAAAATAATAATCTGGAAAACTGACAAAATAAATAAAACAATAAGACTTATAACAACAAGTTGTATAAAGAAACACGTGAAAAACTTTCATAGATTTCTCACAGATGGCGCCACGTCAAAAAGTCGTAAAAAAACGAATACAAAGAACTGTAACTTGCGCTTACATAGAAAACATTCGTCAGGTCTGCTGGTACGTTCCGTAGCTCAGTTGGAAGATCGTCAGCCTTCAGCGTTATGCTGAAGGCGCTGGTTCGAATCCAGCCGAATCGAATGAATTTGTATTAGTAATTATAACAAACTAGAAACATCGTGATATTCAATAAACTTATTAATATTACAAAATAATACATAATTGTCCATAACAAATGCCCCTTAACAAAATATGACGAGACGGTCCCTGACGGTTACGGTTCGATTCCCGGTAGGTTAAATTTGAGAACCGCGTTTTCTAAATTAGTTGTTTTCCGAATGATATGGATAGTACCCCTTAATTAAATTCATTTATTTCTTTGTGATACGCAGGTTACAATAGTTCGTATTGAATGACTATGATCCGCCTTGCTGCATACAAAGTTTTATATCATTTTATATACACACCTTGTATACTGTATACATGGCGATGACGTCGAATAAAATAACATCAGTCACAATACTAAAATAAACAAAGTTTCATAAACTAAAAAGAACCTAAATAATAACAACGACAATTTTAAAAGAAATCTCTTATTGTAGTATGTCATTTCATTCAAGGAGTTAAAATAACGTTAAACCCTGTGGCATTATTGCAATGCAATTCAATTCATTGCTCTAGACATAGATATCGTTGGGTCTAATACTCATTGTATAGGGCATTATCTTATTTGAGATTAGCCTAGTGCGTAGTTACAACATTTTATGAAATCTATTATGTCAGTATCCCAAAAATACGTCACTTTACTGCACCACGGTAAAGGTAAGTAGACCAGTGGTACCCAGTCAAGATTCTGTATATAAAAGAAAAGAGAATCTATCAATTATGAGCATAATTTATAGTACATGGTGTATTAAAGAAATTACCAAGGAGAGTTTGTTAGGAAGACGATGCCGAAGGCTGAAGGCATTAATGACTCGAGTTTGTAACTTTTACAGCCCGTGCTACATAGACTGTTTTTCATCACATTTGCAATACATACTATAAATACGATAATTTATTTCTTGTATGATTATACATCGCTTCTCAACACAACATTTACATGTTTTTTTTTAAATAGTTTGCCAGCTTTTCTTCTTATAAAATGTTGTAAAGGCACAGCACCACAAAGCAGCCATGATTTAATAGATATAAATATAATAACTTCCAAATTCTAAAAATAAGTACGGAAGAATTTGAATTCACGAAATAACTTTAGTAAAATTTAGTTTAATTGCAAATGTATATGCAAAATATATCTACGTTCAGATTTTTTGAGCATAAAAACTTTTTGCTTGACGTAAAAAATCCATAGAGCGATAATGGAATGAAAAAGTCCGTGGGCATAATTTAGGGCATTACGATCGACTCTGCCTACATGTTATGACACTGTTCATCAGCAAGTGTGCTGAAAAAAATAATTAAATCTGTAAAAATTTGTGTGGTAATTAATCTAATTATTGTCTATATCCTAAGCATGTCTCATATTGAATTTACTATTACGTCAGTTGCGTATTTTGTTGATACAAGAAAGATGTCCGATGAAATTATGCATCTTCCAACTACATGTGCCCCATAAAATAATAGGACTTCCAACAAAATTTACCTTACCGCTTTGTATAATGACGACAACGCCATCTATTAACTATTGCATGAACTTTGTGAAAACTACTTTCCTCCGCCACAAGCGATGAAAATCGAACCTCAAACCTAGCTTGTCGCCGAAATGGTTTATTTTGAAATTATAAAGATGGCGTTGTTGGTCTCGTAATAGAATCTAATAATAATACTTGCTGCTTTCTCAGACCAATTTAGGCGAAATTGTCATTAAAATTATCTGTCAAAGAAATAATCTACGGGTCAAATGGCTGTTTAATTATGTCGCTTCAATAAGACTATTTTCAATAGACTTATCCAATCTGAAATGGCTCTTTCAAGTACGAAGTGTTTGTGAAGAGAAGATCCATGTCGAATATTAGAGTAGAAGCTTTGAAAAGTAATACGAAGTTTAGCAATTTGGGTCAAAGGGAGACACCACAAAGCTGGCAATTTATATGCCTTACTACTAATTACAGTGCTATATTACTTGTGCTTGAAGGTTGATAAGAAATTGATTTTATTAATGAGAAGCGTATTTATTTAAAACAGTTCCTTTAAAAAATTGGTTGCAATCTTCTTCCTTGGAGACCGTTTGTTATTAGTACATTAGCTTACTCTGTGATATTTACGTTATTGTTCTAAGTTGTCATTGTAATTTTTAATGTGCAATAAAGAATATTTCATTCATTCACACGTTAATTGCTTTCTTGACCCTGAAATAGCGGCAATGACGGCTTTGGTGCCAGCGTTAGTGTTATCAGCTACTAAATAGATAAGTAGAGAGATACAATGTTCATTCAAACGAGGTACCCATGCATTTGGTGGTAATACAATCAGAGTTTTAAATCACCCGTCACCCTGAGATATAAATTGACAAGTCCCATGTGCCTGTAATTTCACCAGTTTCCTTCCCCTTCAAAACCATAACATAGTACTATTCACGTTACTTGGCTGCAGTTTAATTCAATTAGGGAGGTACGGGAAGTACCTTCAGTAGTACTTTCCTGCATGAATTTCATGGCACTTCATCAAAGCCAATAAAACATTGATTGGTACAAATTCATCATCATACTATAACTGGTCTCCACTAAGAAGAGGGTTTAGGCCACGCTGGCACAATGCGGGTTTGAAAGCTACGTACGGTTTCCAAGGGCAGTGTATCTTCGTTGACATGCAGGTTTCATCATGATGTTCATCTTCGCCGTTAGCGAGAATTAACGCTACTAAATATCTACAAATGAACATAACTTAAAAATTGAGGTTCATGATGCCACAAGGATTCAAACTGACATCCTCTCAATTGTTAAGCAACCGTCCTTCTACTGAGTTTTCATCGCTCTATTGTTTTTAAACTGACTTCAAAAAAAAGAGGAGGTTATACGTTCGGCTGTATGTATGCTTACCAATTTGTCCGTCAATTGTGGACCTATTTTGAAAATTCTTTTTTGTTTGAAAAGGTGCACTCTCGTGGTAGTCCCATTGTCACCAAGTTAGAATCTGATGAGGGGATCCCATAAAAATCGAGGGAAATTCCTAAATTTTATAGGCATGTCAGTGTACTCACCGATTTCTGCATCAATTGTGGACCGATCTTGAAAATTCTTTTTTGTTTGGCCGAACGGTTACAATACCGGCCGGACTGCCACGCAGAGATTTCAGGTTCGATTCGAATATTTGTATGGCCTTTATTTATTTCTCCCGTGAGTTTGGATATAATTATTAGTGGTTGTCTATGTGTGTGTCTATGGCACCCGCGGCACAGGGTCTTCCTAGTGCGGGACTATGTTGAGTATGTGCGTTAAATAATTTTTTTTTAATTAATTTACACTTTAAATTGGGCTACGTCCTTAGTCCCTATCCAGAATTTTACTATTGGACAGTCAAAACTTTCCGATATTGAAAGACAACGTGAGTCTAGATTCCACACAAATATGATTCAAAATGTATTCTATAGCTTTTAAGTTTATTTGAAAAGAGCAATCCCTAGAGTTTCTTGCTTGTTCTTCTCAGCGAGATCAGAGTGGTAAATGAGCAGTAGCTTAAAAAATGACGTTTTCAAGTGTAAAAATGTTGCCTATGGAATAAATGATTATTTGACTTTGACTTTGACTTTGACTTTGACTTTGACTTTGACTTTGACTGAAAACAGGCTAAAATAAAAGTCTAAAACGAATTATCTAAGAAAACAATATCGAACTTTTCAACTGAAGCCCTATTAGTTATAAAATTCACATTAAACCCAAACTTTTCAAATTGCCTAGCGGCTTAACAACACGTTACGACGCGTTTATTCTCGAGTCTAGAAATCCCGCTTTCTTTTGTGAAAGACAAAAACTTTTCAGAATTTGGCAAAGTGCCTTACGTACATAATCGTAACTATGAACAGAAATCGTTGAAAATGCAAAAGTCTGTAGTGAGCAATATATCTTCGGTGTATAAATCAGAGCTGGTCATGACTTCTGTACAGTCGACATGTCAGTG